GGGCTCAAAAAGCGCAGGAACAAACGAGTATGAGCACATGGAAGACAGACCTGGAAGTCTTAGAGCAGATGGTATTGATGCAGAAAGCGGATCAGAACGTTTTTTGCCAATCCAGGGTGTTCATGAGCCGCCAGACGAGGTTCTGCGTGTAACGTATTGGGGCGAGAGGGAAAGTGATGGTCGATTCGCAGACCGGTCATCGTCTCGAGTGCCGAGGAGTCGGAGAGTATCGGCGATGATTGCGGGCTGGGTGTAGGCATACTTTCAAGGAACTTGATCGTCCTCAGATCTTCGTGGCTGCTCATAAGTACATGTCGAGATTCTTTTTGGAGTATTCGCTGTGTAACACAGCTAAATGATACGTCAGCTCTAAGTGCGGTCAATTCCATCACCGCAGCAAGACTAAGGCATTAGTTCATAGTCTTTCCAAATTATAAACGCGTACATATTCAGCAGATCTAATAGAAGCCCATGATTTTCATATATTGCCCCAGGGGCTTCTATCTCGTTCGCATTTGATCAGCTTCGAGACGTAGGATTGTCTATCAGGTTTCACGAGCGGGGGCGGCCATCTCTGAGAATGTACCCATATCAACATGAACGACGTCGACGCAGCCGCATGCCACTCGGACATAATCAGCCGACGTCGGAGCTGGCATCTGTGCCTTTTTGCGCAAATGGGCTCTGCTGCAGAACAAATTGAATTTTTGACTTGTCGTGCGATGACATTGGCTGACGGTCGGCTCAGTTTGTCTTGCTCCTTCTCCGGCCGGCGCGAATCACTAGCGAACTGGGGTCAATGACCGCGCATAGACCGTACGTGTGCCTGTTTGCCTGGGAACTAGGGTACTGATTGCCGGAGGAAACAGTGCAGCATGACACGGTGTTAGGACAGTAAAATGCGGCTGAGCTTTTGTCACGGTATTTTAGCTGCGGGGCTGTATCCACTACCTTAACATGCCTAATAGTAAAGTCTAAGCCGAGTAGGGCGAAAGTGTTATCGCGGTAAATAGGAAGAACCTGACACTCGTGCGGCCGAGACTGAGCACGCACCAGCATTTTTGCACGTGGTAGGTGACATAACGGGGAGAGTCGACACCATGCATCAGCATAACCATAGAAACGGAGTGATCAGTGCTGGGCTCACACTTGTGGAGATTAAGGCTTACAAATTAGTCCCCGAATTCGGTTGATCGAACATGAGGACACACACGTTCAGGCTCTGCGGAAGACGGGGACCCAATCAGTAGTGCGATATTGAGGAGGCTTCTCCAGTGATGTATAAAGACAACAACCTAGGCATCATATGTGGACGAGGTTTGTCCGTATCTTCGTACGAAGCGCCCTCCGTCAGCACTTCACTCACAGAAACTCACAAGCCTATTCATCATGGCATCGACTTCTCCGTCAGCAATCCTCCGACAACGCATTGAGGCTACCGTCAAATCTTTCTTGGCCACATTTGAAGACGGCTCGAACCAGAATGACGCATCCATAATCAACCGCGATGTCACCGACGACTGCAAAAGATACCTCTTGCCTGCGCCATTGCGTCAGGCCTTTGGGCTCCCCAATGACTTTTTCTTTGACAATGCGAAGTTTCAAGAAACCTTTGCAAAGGACATCAGCGTATTGAAATTCAGGAACAACGTTCTTTCCGATCTGGTCATTGACACCGAGGCCCGTCGGGCCGCATTCACTGCCATCGCGGAAGTTCATGAAAAGACTGGGGAGATGTACTTATCCGAGTCCGCCTGGTTCTTATACCTCAACGAGGATGGATCGAAGGTCGAGAAGGCAACCGAGTTTTGCGACAAGGACACAATCGTGAGGATGGCACAGGCGAGCGCATAGGGTTGGCTTCGGGCGGACAGGCTTGTCAGATAGATTGTACAGATGATGGGCAATTCCACTTCGCTACAGCCATAATGGATCCCCACCACCTCAAGGCCATTATCATTTCTTTTCCGCATGCCGAAATCCTTCACAAGGTCTGTTAAAGTCATCCTTGACTAACATGCTCTGGGATTGAAATGGCTTGGTAGAGACTATAGAAAAGGTATGGACAGCGTGACTACGTATATCGTCTCTTAATCAGACGTAGCAAATATTTGAAGAAAAGCAGTCCGTTTCAGATCGAAAACCCATGGCCATTACTAATCTTGACTTACAGGACAGTGATGTCCCGATTCTCGTCGCACATCATGACTTGGCTGATTGGACATCCTCAATACTTCTCTATTGATTAAGAGAAGAGCATTGGTTCCTCTCCTCTTATAAGCCTCCAGTGATTGCTGTGTTGGATCAACTCGTCACAACCCTCCACAGCCCATGACCACCTAGCAATGAAGGCCGGAGTGGCTTCCCAGCTCTGCATGAGGTGTGGTTCACCCCACACGATCAGACCCCTCCGCCCCGCTGTGACTTCATCTTCATCATATCTCATTGCAAGGGGTAGGCTCCGCAACGGTCCAGGGTCAGACATGGTGACTGTAACGGGGGTCTCCTGGGGGCTGAGGGCCGGTGTGCCGGCCCATGGAGGTCTTCCGATGAGGTCTCCATAAGGTCCCGGGTGGTTGAGAACGTCCCTCTCCCCGGATCAGGTTATCACGAAGGCGCGGAAACGGTATGAGATTTATCCATGATGAATGAAAGTTGACTTGCTGAAGACGGGTCGGAACCAGGGAGGGGGGGATGTTGGGATTGAGTGGGAAGATGGTAGTGTCGTCTTGGTATCGAACACTGATAGGACAAACACCAGGAGAATATCCCTCAGCCCTACCTGTGAGCAGAACATTCAATGTGCGCTTGTTGGAGATGAAAGCCCGAAAGACGTTGTATTGGATCAGGTGGAGGAGGTGGTCAGTTGAAAGGGGAAACACAAAGGGCGTATGACCTTGAACCGGTGTGGTGGGAGCCAACCTTTGCAGGGCTCCGTCGTGTTGGGGCGCGACCATAGACCACGTATTGTAGATGTGAGGCCGGGGACGAAAGACGTATGTGGCGGTCGTGCCAGCAAGCCGTGGTGGGCTATTCTGAGAGGAACCAGTCTCAGGCTCATCCGGCGGTTCGTCAAGCCGCCAACGCCTCACTTGGAACGGACGCACCCCTTGGACGACCCCAGGGTCCTGGGCTCTGATCCGCGACCCTTCGGCGCACTTAGCTTGGCACAGGTGAGGTGCTTGAGGGAAAGACTCACGGTGCGCTCGTTGGTTCTTCCGGTTCTGAAGCTTCCGGTGGTATTTTTTGTCCTCAGCGTTCGTGTCCAATCGCGCCGGCTCTGCCATAGTACTCGTTTCACACTGGTCGGGACCTGAAGAAGTCCGTGTCAAGGTGTTCTCCATGGCTAGGAATTGCCGAAGCATTCGGCTGTAATTGCTAAATCATGACATGGTGGGCTTTAGTGAGAAGTGAAATGCGCTCTTGGTCAAATTTCCAATGCCACCCCTTAACTCACGTGGTCCAAATAGAGCTCATACCACAGAAACTCGGGGACGGATCAATTACAGCTTTGAGTGTGAATTGCGCTAGACCGCAAATGGCAATAAAGTCATCACGTCGAGTCATGACCTCCGGTCTTGGTAACACATCAGCACAGCCAACGGCAGTCCACGGCAATACCTGAATGGAGCGTGCTGTGTAAAGGTCTGTTAAACGCACGGCGATAACTAGAGACAAACTCGTCTCGTCCGACGATTTGTAAGTGATTTTTTCCTTAGACTGCGTTCGTGGGGCCGTTTTTCTTGGAAATGCAGAACGAATCGACTATAAGAACCAAGTGGTATTCCATGCCGAAGCAATTTGCTCTATACTTCATATCATCACCGCACAGCTCCTCATCGTACTAAATCAATCCCACACTTCCACCACTTCTCCCCCGCCACCTCGTCGATAACATCATGTCTCGCTACGCCGATACCTTCGTCACGCCGAATGGCCCTGGTGATGCACGCCCCACTGCCCTACAAGTTCTCAAGGACGAAGGCGCCGAGGGCAAGTTGCAGGGCCAGGTCATTGTTATCACGGGTACCTCCTCTGGAATCGGCATTGAGACTGCCCGCGTCCTCGCCCTCACCGGCGCTACACTCTTTCTCACGGCGCGGGATCTCACGAAAGCTAAGTCTGCCCTCGAGGGCGTCTTCGATCCTTCCCGAATGGAGCTCGTCGAAATGGACCAGACATCTTTCGCTTCCGTCCGCACCGCCGCCGCCGCCATCCTTGCTAAGACGTCCAAGATTCACGTGCTTGTGAACAACGCCGGCATCATGGGAACTCCCGACCTCGTCTTGACCGCCGACGGCCATGAACTCCAGTTCGGCACGAATCATCTCTCACACTTCCTCTTCTATAAGCTTCTCGAACCTGCTCTCCTCGCCGCCGCTTCCCCGAACCTACCCTCCCGCGTCGTTGTCCTCGCCTCCTCTAGCCATAACGTGGCCGGCCTGAATGATACAGACGACTACAATTTCCAGAAGACCAAGTACGACCCGTCGGTGTCCTATGGCCAATCCAAGACTGCCAATATTTACATGGCCAACGAGATCGAGCGCCGTTTTGGCTCCCGCCACCTTCACTCTACCAGTGTCCATCCCGGCGTTATTCAGACCGCGCTGACGCGATCCATGCCCCCTGACGCCTTCAAGGGGATGGAACACATCTACCCTACCATGAAGAGTGTCGAACAGGGAGCCGCAAACACCGTATATGCGGCTGTCGGTAAAGAGTGGGAACATGCCGGTGGCAAGTACCTTGTTGACCTCGTCGTGGCCAAGCCTTCTGCGGCGGGAGATGACAAGATCGTTGGTCCTGGATACGCGACGTGGGCGTATGACGAGGAGAAGGCGCAAAGACTGTGGAGGGATTCGCTCAAGATTGTCGGTCTGCCTGATGAGCAGTAGGGAATCTTCGGGGAGATTTATGTGCTGGAGAAATAGACGATAGACCAAATGCCCGCTTGGATCAGGGTCACTATTGCTCTCATTAGTAATTCCTTGCTTCCGTCTCTGCTCTTTGTGGCGAGAGGTTTCTCGTGAGCCCAGTATTGGGCAACGTGATCTTGAGAAGTGACTTGTGACAATTATCTTGACGCGCCTTTGGAGTCAGAGCGAACGATGGAATAGGCAGAGTGAAGAGGATCAGCAGGTGGGGTCCGCAGTCAATTGTAAGATAGGGGTTTGGAACAAATCCGAAAACTGGACCTCCGTAGCCTTTGTGTACGCTCTCCGTGATCACAAGCCGCCCCGAACTAGCCCCTGAGGCCCGCTGTTCCCTGGCTCCGCCGATACTGCACGCATTTCGTCCCATCACTCGAGCCATGGCTGGCCGAGGATGAAGACATGCATTGATTGACGAAAACTGGCTCACATGATGCCCTGACAAACTACGGCCTCGCGACTTCGTATTACATGAACAGCTAAACCATGTAATTTTATTAGGCATCAGTGCTCTGAACATGAAATTCATAAGCCAAACGTGTAAGCTTAACCAATGTCGACATTACCAGTCCCTCACAGTTACCAGCCTCGTTCAGATAATTACTCACAGGACTTGTCTAATGATCTAGCTCGGGAGAGATATCATGGGGTACATTTACTGAAACTGAACTCCAGGCCGGTTTCCGCCAGTCTTTCGTGTATTCGTATTAAATCAAGATGATCGCTTGAGTATGAGGCTCGAATGTACAGAATCAGGAACCTTCAAGTCAGGCTTCCGCTCTTCTTTCGATGGCTACAGCCTATTTTGCCGCGAACAATTGACCAGCGGGGGCAACGTCAACTAATCATCAGTATTGTCTTCCGACGTCTGTCAGGATTCACTCGAGTGAACTCCACCAAGGGGAAGCAATTTTCGATTAACAGTTTCTCAAGGGAGAACGTCAAACTGTGGCGCTGCAAAGGGAGAATGGCTTCGCCTGACGGTTTTTCGTCTTTGGGGCCCCGACCAGATCCTCGACGGCGACCTTTTGTTATTTCATGGCCTACAGATGACAAGCTCATTTCCACGAAGACCAACAGGCGCTCAATGCGTCATGCAAACCAGCCTGGACATACGACATACGTTCCATCGAATGTTCGACGCGGCATTGGTCAAGCTTCTGTGTCACCGCCAGAGCTCTAAAGGCGCCGCCTTGGGGTCGCCTTAACCTCGAAGACATCCTGCTACAAGCTCAATCAGAGGTCGACCGTCCAATGGAAGAGCAGAAGCCACGGAACACACGACCACCCCAGAGACAAAGACGGCATGGCGCATCGCGTCTCATCGCATCTCGCTGATGCCGCCCGATTGTGAGCCGATCGACTGCCTTCTGTCCGCCTGGGGATCTGAGTCGACGCGGGCTTTTCGCACCACGATTGGACAGGGAAAGGTAATTGGGCATCTCACGCTCCGGCTCATTCGGTCCAGTCCCCAGACGGGTCTCAGCTCCAGGATTCGCCTCCGAACCTTAGAGCCACTGACTGATCCCATCTCCAGCGGGCAGCGTCGTTGGTCGAATCGAACCCTTCCGATGGTGGTTCACGTCGCCCCCAAGCAGGGAACATAGATGAGCGCTACAGACACAGAAAAGCCACGTGCATTATCAAGAACGTTTCCTGCCGCTCGCGACGCAGGCGGCCCATACATTACATACATCTCGCGCATGTACAGCATGTAGCGCTACGTGTCGAGTCTGACAGGTGCAAAGATGTGCGCGAATCCGAACACCAACTCGCAGCGAAAGGCCAGTTCAATGAAGGTTTTGGAAGCCCAGCAGCCCGCCGTGGATCTTGCCCCTAACACCATCTTCTCTGAGGGATTTTCGCGAGCACCACGCACCGACCAAACTGCCGGGCGATAAGGTACAACCCCATGACGTTGTTGACGGGGGGTGGCTTTGCCCCTTTGTAGTAGACACTCGTCGGACGTTTCTTAATGATCGACCCTGGGACACAATGCCCTTGTCCCGCGGCGGGATTGACTCTCAGACCCCAGCCCTACCGTGCCATTCATGACATAATGCGAGGGGGGCGATGCGAGCCTGGAATCCTACTCTGCACCTAGGGCCCCCCGATCGTCAGTGTGTAATGCTCGCTCGCTTGGTCCGGCCACTCGGAGCCAGGGAAATAGTGCCCTTTAGACTCTCTTAGCTGCCAGAAACAATATTTTGATCGGCGGGCGCACAAGAACCCATCTAGGCTCGCAGATTTCTGAAATGAGCAACTGGCCAAATTCAGCAACTGGCTGGGCCGTCGTCCTGTGTTGCTCAACAGAAGTCCTCAACCAGGCGAAGCCGGCGGATACGAAGCGTTTATGGGTCCCAGCAGGGCAGGAAGCTGCATGCTACCGCCAACTGGACATGACGGACGAAGAAGCTACACGAGCCTGTTCACAAAAAAAAGTACCTCAATCAACACGAGGCTCGACAGGCATCCTCATGTACCCGCCCCCCCTGCTCCAATGACCCCCCCTGGTCCGCTCCATTACGTCTGGATCTCGCGGCGATCACTGCTCGAATGGAACGGCACGTCGCCTGCATGCCCGCCCGCCGAGATCAAAATCCTCAGGTCACTCACTACCTCCAAATGGTGGGCGCTGTCCGTTGGTAAAGAGGGGTACATGGTAGCTCTCTGCATGTGCCCAGACAAAATGGGAAGAGCCACGCTCTGAGGGTTGGCTCCCACCCCGTCTGAAGAACCACTGTTGTGCTGCACCATGGATGCAGCTTAGTCTGGGGCCTCAACTAGCCAGACAACCGTGTGTTCGTCTCGAGTCGGGAGAGGCCACGAGCCAGAGTGACGCTACCGATGGAGGTCAATCTCATGGAAACACAGATTGCGTCCACCCACACATCTCTGTTGCCTGCTCCACCGCTCCGTCTCGCTATGGCTTTGCTTTCTCCCGCGTTTCGATTCAAGTCTCGTTTCGACCCGAAGACCCTGCGCCGCGCTTTCACCTCCCCGCCCGCCCACTGGCCCGCTGGAGAGAGTGCTCCAGTTCCAGTGCCGTACCATTCATTTGTGATCTGGCCAACCACGTCTCGCCGGGCCCTACCGGAGGGGGTCGGGGACCCGCTGTCCCAGCATGCCTGCGTGTGTGGCTTGGAACCGCACGCTCACTAGAAGGTGCGTGAAGCCCTCGCTCCACCACACGCTGCGTGCCGGTGCCACCGCTAGCGATGGGACGGTGTCGACACCTGGGAGGGAAAAGAGACCAGGTGAGCTTCAAGAAGGTCGGAGACTCGTCTCGGTGTCTAGCGTGCTGTTGTCCGACGCCATTGCTCTGTGGCAAAGGTGCGGTGCTGGTGGCGGCGGGGTTCTTAGCAGCAGGTGGTCAGGCAGACAATAATGTACCCTAGCTACCAGGTAGGTACTGTAGGTAGGTTAGCAATGAGCACTACCACTAACGTACACCTCGGTAGAAGGGTCAAAGAAAGAGTCGAGTGACAGCGCCGCGGCTGGGGCCGACCCACGAGACAGTCCCCCTTTTGTCTTGCGTTTGCGATTGGTGATCAAGCCTCAGGACGGACAAGGGTTCTTGCTAAGCGGCGAGCTGGACCAGTTGGTCTACAAGTCAAGATGGTCGATATGACCGGTCATCTTGCAGCTCGGTAGGTCATTGTGGCGCCGGTCGAGGCTGGGGAATGGTGATGAAAGGAGTTCGCTGGAGTTCCCTCGGATGGAGGGGGAGGGCGCGGGACGGCGAACGAGCAATGCATGAATGATCGAGATGGGCATGCTGAAGGGGGGCCAATGCAACACCTATGCCAAGCCTCCGCCTTTGCCGTGCTTACAGATAGACAGATCTCTCTCCTGGACGGTTACGACGCTTGTTGACGATGATGGAGAAGAGCCCCAGTAGTCAAGTGCTCCGCAAGGCCCGAAATGCCGGTCACGAGGGATGTTGGGTACGGACGCAACGACAGGCAGCAGGAAGTAGCAGCCCACGGAGGGTCGCAGAGGGAGTGAGAACGGGAACCAGATGAGGGAGCAAGAGCGACGGACCAGCAGACGGGGAACGGGGAGCTGCAAGAATAGAGCAAGCAATGATGACAGCACAGAAGAAACCACGGCAAGAACGGAGGGGGGGGGGGCGTCATGGGGGGTGTGTGATGGAAGGAGCACACCACCTGACAGGAGCTTCCTTCCCAGCCAGCGCGGCGATTGCACAATGAATCGCTGCCCTTCCTTCTGTGGTACTGCCACATGCCCACTACCCCCTTGCCCCTCCTCGATCACCTCACTATACCTTCGTACCTACCCTGTACAGAACTGTTGTGCTCCTCCCGTCGTCCTCTCCAGGACCTGTCTCACCTTGCTTCTTCCGCCGGGCTGGCTGGTAGGAGCAGTCGCATGGAGACTGACCAGTCACCCCCCAGCTTGCCCATCACACCAACGATGCGATTTTGAGTTGAGGCGAGGCCCGGTTCTCTGCAGCAGCACATCGGGTACCTTGCTTTGAGACCCTGTTGCCCACATTCCTCCAGCCAGCCCTGAGGTCACCTTCGCCTGGGCGCTGCCTCGGCGCTCCCCGATCGAAGCAAACAGCCCCCGGCCGGTACTGACAGTGGTACTGACAGTGGAGGTCTGGTCCTGTCATGTCAGGCACTACAAACTACAATGACTGCTGCTAGCGACGCGATGGTGAACCACGTCTGGCTAGAGGAAGCACCGGACTTCAGGACGTCAGGAGACCACGGATAGCAACATCAGGACATGGCGGCGACGAGCGCTGGAGGCCCAAACCTCTTCAAGATATGTTGTCTAGACCAGTACATTGGGGGACAGCGCGACACCAACAGCCCGGCGGGCGGCAGAGGTTGCTCGCCCCAACTGACGGTCGGCCAGGTCGGCCAGCCATGGTTGAGCTTTTCTGGATGCTCAGGTTCAGGCTCCACGCCATGAACGCGCCAGGAAAATTCGCGACGATCAATTCAATGGCATTCCCACCCCTCCGCTGGCAGCGCCGGTATTGGGCCAGGCCCTCCTGGGGATCCATTCCCAGTTCCCAGTTCCACACCCGTGCCCACGTCTGCACCACCCACACCCACCCATCCAGCCATGCCCACATCTTTCTGTTCTCTCTTGGCACACCTCCGACGGCTTTTGCCTGTTGCTGCCACACCCCCTTGCCCTGGGCCCCTCGCCCTGGCTGGCCCCATCCCCCCCTAACGGGTGCCCAGCGGTG